GCTGCCTTGCCGGTAGATCACAGAACTCGCTGTCTAGCAATGAGGCGGAGGCTCCGTGGGTGTGGGACCCTCGCTCGCCAGGTGTGGGATATGATCTCCTGGTGTGCCTGTTCGGCTTACGCGGCAGTCATTGGGGTGGCAGTTACCCATTTTCCAGGATGTTGTTGTGGTCTCATTTCCCTGGCCGTCGAGCAAAAGGATTCCCTTCCCCTTTCGGCCTTCCCAGGTGGAGGCAACTGCCTCGCCCTGCTTCAGCTGCTCGCTCGGTCGGGCGCTGTCAGCAGCTATGAGCCCAGCACCCGATCGTCGGCAACTCCCAGTGAGATGAACCCAGTACCTCAGTTGAAAATGCAGAAATCACCCGGTCTTTTTGTGTCGCTGCGCGCTGGGAGTTGGAGACTGGAGCTGTTCCTATTCGGCCATCTTGCTCCGCCCCCGGACTTTTGAATCATTATAGTCCAGGTCTCAGATTTCTTTTTTTTGTTTCTTTTTTTTTTTTTTTTTTTTGAGATGTAGCTTCACTCTGTCACGCAGGCTAGAATGCATGTGGCCCAATCTCAGCTCACGTAACTCTGCCTCCTTGGTTCAAGCGATTCTCCTGCCTCAGCCTCCCAAGTAACTGGGATTACAGGTGCCGCACCACGCCTGGCAATTTTTGTATTTTTAGTAGAGATGGGTTTCACCCATGTTTGGTCCAGCTGTTTCGAACTCCCAACCTCAGGTGATCCACAATCAGATTTCTGGTTGATAAGTAGGAAAAGTCATATCTTTCGAAATACAAAGAGTGGATCATCCAACAACTGTTCTCTCTGATGTGAAAATGTATGAAATAGAAAATTTTACTTTTCCTAACCTACTGACTTCTTAATTCTCTTTGGCTTATGTAACGAAAAGTAATTTTTTGTACTTAGCTTATTTGTATTCAAAGAGCCAGAAGATGAGAAGAGAGAGGGCACTCCAAGAAGCATACTGGTTGCTTGGGAAGAACTTTGGCCTCTACTAAACATTAATCTAAAAGATTATTAAAGATGTTCAAGAAATTGGGTAAGCCAAATATGAAAACTATGAGAGATTACATTAACTCAGCTTTTTAATTGAGCAGTGAATCTTCAGGGGGATATTCTATTTAATTTTTAGAGAATTACTTTGGAAACTTCATGCCTGTGTTGATATTTATATGTACTAATGAAATACACAAAAATTTGCAGCTTTGACTAAATTGGATCAATGTAGATTTAGTTAACCCAGATATCTAAATAACCAAACTAGGTAACCCAGAGACAAACATTCTGTCTTTTATCAGCAGCAAGATTCCTTTGATTTTTGTTTTCCATCTCATTTTGCCTACATTTGCTTATGACAAAGTGATCCTAAAATGGTTACCTGAAAATAAACAAAATAAACACACTTACATGGCAATATACTCTCTCTCCTTTTTTTTTTTTTTTTTTTTTTTTTTTGAGAGGGAGTCTCCCTCTATTGCCCAGGCTGGAATGCAGTGGCACGATCTCGGCTCACTGCAACCTCCACCTCCAGGGTTCCAGCGATTCTCCTGCCTCAGCTTCCCAAGTAGCTGGGATTACAGACATGCACCACCGTGCCCGGCTGCTTCTTTTGTACTTTTAGTAGAGAGAGGGTTTCACCATATTGACCAGGCTGGTCTCGAACTCCTGACCTCAGGTAATCTGCCCACCTCAGCCTCCCAAAATGCTGGGATTACAGGCGTGAGCCATGGCTCCCAGCCTATACTCCTTTATTTTTTTTTAACTTAATTTTAGTAGAACAAATAAGTTTGTACATCTTCAAACTTGTCATGATGTTATATATTTGAATAAGCAGTATAAGAAACTTATGTGGGTCTTGTTCACAGTCTACTTTTTCTGCTAATAATGTGATGATACTTTGTGGCTCACTTTGTCTAATATAATTTGAACGTGATAATACCCTTTGAAAGGAATTGAGCTTCAGCACCAGCTTGATATGTGCAAACAGCGTGATCTATATGCAACAACAACAACAACAACAACGAAAACGTGATATTGTCATAGGCTGAGCTGATAAGGATAGGAGTCTAGGGCAAAAGAGAGGTAGTTGTCCTTCTCTGCTCTGTACTGCTAAGACTTCAACTGGAGTATGTTTCTTTTATGGTACTGTATTTCAGGTGGGATGTTGGGGTGATGGCCAGCAACTTAAACAGTGGCTTTCAAAACTTTTGACCAAATACATTTGGCATCACAACCAAGTATTTGTATTGGTGTGTGTGTAACTGAAAAGTTTTACAAAACATATATTACATGTGATGGACCAAAATATTTTCTGTTCTCAGTTATATTAAGTTCTGATTTATTTTTGAAAAATTAATATCAAGGTGCAACTCAGGAGTAAATCCCCACATTTTGAAAAACACCGATCTGAAACACTTATTTTACCATAATAATTTAGTGGTTGTTATCATCATTATCAGCATTATTTGACAATAAATAAAACCTTAGTTGAGGTGTGGTTGCTTACTCAATGGATAGTGCATGCTGTTTAGTATATACAGTCATTTGACGGGGGTATGCGTGTGAAAAATGCATTAATTGATTTCGTTGTTATGTTAACATCATAATGTACTTACACAAACTCAGATGGTATAGCCTACTACACACCTAGGCTATATGGTGTAGCCTGTTGTTCCTAGGCTGCAAACCTGTATAGCGTGTGACTGTACTGAATGCTGGAGGCGGTTGTAACAAGATGATACATATCTGTGTATCTAAACATAAAAAGGGTACTATAGGCTGGGTGCAGTGGCTCATGCCTGTAATCCTAGTACTTTGGGTGGCCAAGGCAGGCAGATCACTTGAAGCCAGGAGTTCGAGACTAGACTGGCCAACCTAGTGAAACCCCATCTCTACTAAAAATACAAAAATTAGCCAGATGCGGTGGCAGGTGCCTGTAATCCCAGCTACTCAGGAGGCTGAGGCAGGAGAATCACTTGAACCCGGGAGGCAGAGGTTGCAGTGAGCTGAGCTGGCGCCACTGCACTCCAGCCTGGGCAACAAAGTGAGACTCTGTTTCAAAAAAAAAGAAAAAGGAAGAAAGAAAAAGAAAAAGGTACTGTAAAAGTCTGTTATTATAATCGTATGGAATCACTGTTCTATATGTAGTCTGCCATTGACTGAAATGTCATTATATGACACATGACTGTACTTACATGTTGCCAAAAATAGTCATTCCGTGTTTCAGGGAAATGCGGTGGCTGGCTATATATACAATAAAAATTACTTAAGCAAGGGGTTGTCTATGTGCAATCACTGCTAAAAATGAAGTCCCCATGATGATTTTAACTTTGTCTATCAGTAACATATTTGTTAATCATATTGTTATTAGAAAATCAGATATACCGAAAGAAGATATATCACCTTAAATAAATATAGAACTGAGACTACATTGCACAGCCTTGTCTAAGCAAATACAAATTAAATTCCTACTGAATGCCTGACTCTCTTATTCCATCTGCCCTTGTCTCTAGTCAAAACACTTCTTTCCTGCCTCGTAGAATCTGAATTCTAATGACATTTGCAATCTATCTGGTTAAAAGACGAGTGGCCATACTTTTTTGATCAAATATGCATTTATTGCCTCAATTTGTGTGGTACTGTAATGAAAAGGCATTATAGGACAATCGTAAATTAAATTTCATCAATTCATATTCCCAATATCCTGTTTGATATATCTTTTAGGTGTAGCATATGCTATATCTTCATCCCTCTCAGTTGTAATTTCTGAGATAATACTTCCATTTTTCATTGTACCTGGAATAAAACAATAAAAACGTTATAGTTGGCATAAATTAAAGTACAAGAGGTGACATAAATACATTATTCATTCCTTAAATCTGTTAATTTGGGTTGCTTGTCATTAGTCCCACCCTTCGCCTTCCCTCTCATTCTGTCTCTTCATTGGTAAAGGATGAGCTAGCTTAGCCTACTAGAGCTGAAAAAAACCCTGAGGTTCGTGACATCAAACAGAAAGGGAGAATGGTATGATAAAAATAACATGGGCTATACAAAGTAAATATACTAAAATGTTTAATTTCAGGATCTAGGTGATGGGTGTGTTCAGTGTACAATTCTTTTAATTTTTCTGTATATTTTAAAATTGTCATTAAAAATGTTAGAAAACACTGGGTGCGATGGCTCACGCCTGTAATCCTAGCACTTTTGGAGGCCGAGGCAGTCAGATCACTTGAGATCAGGAGCTCAAAACCAGCCTGGCCAACATGATGAAACCCTGTCTCTACCCGTGTTGGCTCACACCTGTAATCCCAGCACTTTGGGACCACAATCCACGACTTCTGACATGTGGCCAGGACTCAAGCTCTGTGCTCGACGCTTGGGTAGGACAAAGATTTTGAAGGCGGCAAGTGATGAAACATTCATACCTGAGCTTTAGAAAGGTGAATAAACTCATGTGTTTTACAATGAGTGAGAATGGGTGAGGAGCAGTGGCTTGCTCATAGCGGGCATTTGGTAAACATAAAAAAGAAAACGAGGCCGGGCGCGGTGGCTCAAGCCTGTAATCCCAGCACTTTGGGAGGCCGAGACGGGCGGATCACGAGGTCAGGAGATCGAGACCATCCTGGCTAACACGGTGAAACCCCGTCTCTACTAAAAAATACAAAAAACTAGCCAGGCGCGGTGGCGGGCGCCTGTAGTCCCAACTACTGGGGAGGCTGAGGCAGGAGAATGGCGTGAACCCGGGAGGCGGAGCTTGCAGTGAGCTGAGATCCAGCCACTGCACTCCAGCCTGGGCGGCAGAGCGAGACTCCGTCTCAAAAAAAAAAAGAAAACGAAAAAGGGTCTGATCTAGGAAGGGAGAAACCCGCAAGACACAATTGTGTCCCACCGGCCCAAAGAACTCTGAATCAAGTGGCCTTATAGGGTTCCAGGAGAGAAAGCCAAGACAGAAGAAAAAAAAAGGTCAGAAAGCTGCTCACAGGACTGCTGTATATGATTGCACAATTTACATTGCACAAAGGTACCTGGTGGGTAAGAGTAGGCAGTAAGGCCTGGAATTAAGCCTGTATTGTGTTTGCTATGCCATGAGCCCACAGAGCTACGTAAGCCCACAGAGGGTCTTCATTCTTAATATGTCCCACAAGAGAGAGTGCTTTACCGATCTGTTAATCCAGAGAGGTGTCTTTTTCCAATCCATCTGTCGAGAGGGAGCACCTTTCTCTAATTTGCATAAATGTGCTCTATGTATGCTAGTGGTGGCCACACTGGTCCCTCTTGGAGTCATGTAGCACACTGCCCGTGACAATGGCTGTGGTTCCCCACCCATCCTCCAGGTTTTCCACCTTCTGTACTGCTCCAGCAATTGTATAAAATGGCTGGATGCAGGGATCCCAATTAGAAAGCTGTTGAGGGAAATCAGAGAGTGGACAAAGGATATAGAGATAGATTTAAGAAGATAAGGAAATCATTTGGTATTATACAAGGATCCTAAAATGTAGTTTTCAAATAGCGAAAATGCTAAATGCTAATAAACGTAATGTAATGTATTCCAATGTTCAGTAGAATAATTTTGCTGCACTTGCAAAATTATGAGGGAATGTTCATATTGAATGTTTGTCATCAGTAATATGGAACATTAACAATTGAATCAATTTGATTTCTGGTCTGCTCCTGTTATAGCATACATTGGGAAACGTCTTCCTGGGTTGAGGACCTGGAGGGAAGCTTGTGTTTGCATCAGAAGGTCAGAAAGCCAGTGTCAGGGAGGGATCAGGAGTATCACTAATTAAATGACATATTGTATAGATTTCACTTTCTTTGTAATAAATTGAATCGTTTTTGCATACCACATAACTCCAACAAAGATCTCTTTCCTGACTTTTCCAGTGATCGAGTGTTGACTCCTGTCTTTTGAGATAAACAAAATACCAACTAGCAGTCAAGCAAAAAAGCAGCAAGTACGGTAGTGCCTGCCTATAGTCCCAGCTATTCGTTGTAGTCCCAGTTACTTGGGAGGCTGAGGCAGGAGGAGCACTTGAACCCAGGAGTTTTGAGTCCAGCCTGAGCAGCAGCAAGAACCTGTCTGTAAAAAAAGAACAAAACAAAACAAAACAAACAAACAAAAACCTAAAAATGCAAAGCAGAAGACAAATAACTTTGAAGAAACAATAGGGGCTGGAGAGGCTGTGGAGAAATAGGAATGCTTTTACACTGTTGGTGGGAGTGTGAATTAGTTCAACTAATGTGGAAGACAGTGTGGCAACTCCTCAAGGATCTAGAATCAGAAATACCACTTGACCCAGCCACCCCGTTACTGGGTATTTACCCAAAGGATTGTAAGTCATTCTGCCATAAAGACACATGCACACGTATGTTTATTGCAACACTGTTTACAATCGCAAAGACTTGGAGCCAACCCAAATGCCCATCAATGATAGATTGGATAAAGAAAATGTGGTACATATACACCATTGAATACTATGCAGCCATAAAAAAGAATGAGTTCAAAGCTGGGAGTGGTGGCTCATGCCTGTAATCCCAGCACTTTGGGAGGATGAGGCAGTTGGATAACGAGGTCAGGAGTTCAAGACCAACCTGGTCAAGATGGTGAAACCCCATCTGTACTAAAAATGCAAAAAAATTAGCTGGGCATGGTGGCGGGCGCTTGTAATCTCAGCTACTCAGAGGCTGAGGCAGATAATTGCTTGAACCCAGGAGGCAGGAGTTGCAGTTAGCCAAGATTGCACCACTACATTCCAGCCTGGGCAACAGAGCAAGACTCAGTCTCAAAAAGAAAAAAAAAAAGAAAAAAAGAAAAGAAAAAGAAAGAAAGAAAGAAGAAAGAAGAGAAAAGAATGAGTTCATGTTCTTTGCAGGCACATGGATGAAGCTAGAAGCCATCATTCTCAGCAAACTAACAGAGGAACAGAAAACCAAACACCACATGTTCTCACTCATAAGTGGAAGTTGAACAATGAGAACACATGGACACAGGGAGGGGAACATCACACACTGGGGCCTGTCGGTGGTGTAGGGAAAGGGGAAGGAGAGCATTAGGACAAATACCTGATGCATATGGGGCTTAAAACCTAGATGATGTGTTGATAGGTGCAGCAAACCACCATGGCACATGTATACCTGTGTGACAAACCTGCACGTTCACCACATGTATCCCAGAACTTAAAGTAAAATTAAAAAAAAAGAAAGCTGTACACTTGCAAATTGTCTACATCTGGACTAATATTCCCTGCCAATTAAAGCATATAAAACACATATGTCAAATTACAATTAAAGTCATATAGCCATGTTCATATAATCTGCTTGTAAACAAGGTTTTTTTGTTTTTGTTTTTGTTTTCGGTGTTAAGCAAAAACAAGTGAAAGAGAACAAAGCAGGAATCCCTAAAGAGAATGGTCAGTTTATAGACATGAAAGATGACAGTATTTAATATCTGAGCAAATACACATCCAATTATTGTATTTTATATACAGTACTGTGAACCTAAACACAGATAAAGACAGAATTACACAGCGTACGAAAGAAGCCTTAACCTATCTTTTGAAATAACTGTAATCTCACTGAATGTGAAGAATGCATTAATTTACCTGAATAGTTTGAAGAAAATTCATTATCTTGATGTGTTCTGTTTTTATCCTTTTGTCTGGATGGTGGTCCATTGAATTTTATGGGTGCTGCAAAATATTTGTGAGAATTTACTGTCTTGAGAATACTTCACAGTGAAATATAATTACCTCCAGGAATAACTTTTGCTTCCCCAATGTTTAATGTTATTTTTTAAGCCTGTTAGTTGTCCTGTCGACTTTCACTCACCTGAATAAGCCAGATGTACATGAAGTTGGCATTCCACTAAAAATACAAAAATTAGAAAATAAGAGAACATTGGAATTTTGTTTATTATTTAAATATATTTATTTTTTGCCCTATGGACAAAAGGAGAAGTTTAACTCTAGTCCAGTTTATCTGCCCTTTCTCTCTCCTTCAGATGAAAATGATCTCCTTTCAGGATTATGAAGTGAAACCACCAATATGAAGTCAGCATACGTCATCATAATGATGATGATAATGATCATCATTGATGATGGCTTGGTCATAGAACCAAGCCAGCTAATGGAGTAACTAAGAGAATGAGGAGGTGGGCCTAGATGGTTGCTTAGGGATTTTAGTTGGCTTGTGGAATTAGGGGTGAATGATACAAGGTCCCTGTCCTCAGGGAGGTTGCGGTTCAGTAACAGAAGGCAGTCACCTAATTCAGAGTGGCACACATCACCAGAAGGAAATAGAGAAGGCAGGAGAATAGAAATAGGAGGGATTCTGTGGTCAAAATGCCTGGATTCTAATCCTGCTCCTTCACTTACTAGTTGTTGATTTCAAGAAAGTTCCTTGCACACTGAACCTCAGTTTTCTCATCTGTGAAATGGGGATAATAAATAGTACTTCTCTCATAGGGTTACTGTGATGGTTAAATAAGACAATCAGTGTATCAGTGTCCATATAGCAGTAACTGTCACTGAACAAATTTCAGTTATTATATATGATTATCTATACCAGATAATAAATACATCAACAATTATATATCTCTATATAAAAATGCCAGATATTATTTATGATAACATCTATTTCAATTTATTCAGTTAATCAACAACTTAGTATACCTCAATCCTCTAGGATAATATTCAGAGGCTTAGACCCAAGTGGCTGTCTCCCAGTTTCCTCTGAGAGACAAACTGAATAATCCTGTTTTATAGTTTCCTCCCATAAATCTGTTTCTCTTGTCCCCCTATCAATTACCTGTTACCACCATCCACCTAGTCACTTATGTCCATAAACTAACAATCATCCTAGGTTTCTTTTCCCCCTTATTGCAGCAATAATATCCTGCTGACTGTACCTCTAAAATGTGTTCTGGATTAGAACCCTTGTCCCCACCTATTCTGCTTTCACCTAAATCAATCCAGCAACATCTTTTTCTTGGACCACTGCAAAAAGCCTTTGTAGAGCTTTCCCTGCTTCCACACTTGCCAGGTTACAATTCATTCTCAACACAGTAGCCAAAGCTACAATTAAAAAATATATATACACACACACATATATATACAGATATATACACACACAATATATGTATAGAGTGTATGTATATATATACACACACATATATATACACACACACACATATATACACACACACACACACATATACACACACACACACACACACACATATATATATATAGGCCGGGTGCGGTGGCTCACGCCTGTAATCCCAGCACTTTGGGAGTCCAAGGCAGGTGGATCACAAGGTCAGGAGTTCAAGACCAGCCTGGCCAAGATGGTGAAACCACATCTCTACTAAAAATACAAAAATTAGCTGGGTGTGGTGGTGGGTGCCTGTAGCCCCAGCTACTCCGGAGGCTGAGGCAGAAAATTACTTGAACCAGGGAGGCGGAGGTTGCAGTGAGCCGAGATCATGCCACTGCACTCCGGCCTCGGCAACAGAGCGAGACTCCGTCTCAAAAAAATACATATATAGTCATTTCTTTGCTAAAGACCTCGCAGTAGCCTTGCATTTTGTGACCAACCCAACCTGGGCCCATCGTCCTGCCTGTCACAACAAAGTCAAACACTGACATTGGAATTTGCAATGAAAAAAAGGGAGGCATTTATTGCAGGGCCCCAAGCAAGGAGAAATAGGCAACTTATGGTTAAGACACAAACTCCCTGATAGCTTAAGGGTTTTTAAAGCCAGGGAGGCAGAGATCACAAAGCAAAATATCGATACATGAAAGCTATACATTGCTTTGACCTCAAAAGGTGGGACACCTTAAAGCAGGGGCCCACAGGTTATAGGTGGATTCAAAGATTTTCTGATTTGCAATTGCTTAAGGAGGCGAAGCTTTGTCAAAAATTTGGCTGGATGCGGTGGCTCACGCCTATAATTCCAGCACTTTGGGAGGCCGAGGTGGGCGGATCACGAGGTCAAGAGATCGAGACCATCCTGGGCAACTTGGTGAAACCCCGTCTCTACTAAAAATACAAAAATTAGCCAGGCATGGTGGCGGGTGCCTGTAGTCCCAGCTACTCAGGAGGCTGGGGCAGGAGAATTGCTTGAACCCAGGAGGTGGAAGTTGCAGTGAGCCAAGATCGCGCCACTGCACTCCAGCCTGGCAACAGAGCGAGGCTCCGTCTCAAAAAAGAAAAAAAAAAAAAAAACAAGAAAAAAAAATTTGGCAACAGCAGAAAGGAATGTTGAGCTCTGGCCTGTGAGTGTGACTTCCTCCAGGCCCTACAGGAAGAAACTCAGAACATAGAATGGGCATCAGAGTTCAGTACTCAGTTCCCTCATCTGAGGTCTACCTGCCAGCAGATGGCATTTTTCCATTGGTGGGGGGTCCACTTTTCTGAAGAACAACTCAAGGACATATGTTAAGGTATTATCTTTAGGCCAGGCACGGTGGCTCATGCCTGTAATCCCAACACTTTGGGAGGCCGAGGCGGGTGGATCACCTGAGGTCGGGAGTTCGAGACCAGCCTGAGCAACATGGAGAAACCCCGTCTCTACTAAAAATACAAAATTAGCCCGGCATGGTGGCGCATGCCTTTAATCCCAGCTACTCGGGAGGCTGAGGCAGGAGAACCACTTGAACCCAGGAGGCGGAGGTTGCAGTGAGCCAAGATCTCGCCATTGCATTCTGGCCTGGGCAACAAACGTGCAACTCCTTCCCCCCCAACCCCCCCCAAAAAAAATTATCTTTAGTTTCTATACAGAACTAAACACATTATGACTCAAACTTCCTCGGCTACTATTGTAGGCTACTATAGGCTACTATTACCTTCTTACTTATCAGGTTGCTCATTTACTTCTCAAGGCTAGCTAGGTGCCTGGAATTTCCCTTGAAGGAACTCAAGATTTTCCTTTTATTTCCATTCTTGGGTTGGGAAGATGCCTGGCAGGCCCCTAAGAGGGGTCCCTACTCCATCTCAAATGAAATTAGATATCCAAGTTCATTTCTATTGCTAGTAGAGCCCTACATGACGTGGCCCTTGCTCACCGTTTTCGTCTTATCTCCTATCATTTTCCATCTTTTGGTCCCTGGATATATCAAGCTCATTCAGTCTCAGGATCTTTGCATTAGTTTTTCCTTCAGCCCGGAAGCACTTCCACATGTAAGTTTCTTGGTTTACTCTTGTCGTTAGGACTCACTTCAAATGTCACTCTCTAAGTGGCCTTTCCTGACTACCTAGGCTGCATATATCACTCTGCTTTATTTTATTTGTAGTGCTCATTGTTATCTTACATTTTTGTTTGTTTGTTTGTTTGCTTTTTGAGAGAGAATCTCGTACCATTGCCCTGGCTGGGGTGCAGTGGTACGATCTCAGTTCACTGCAACCTCTGCCTTTCGGGTTCAAGCAATTCTTGTGCCTCAGCCACCTGAGTAGCTGGGATTACAGGTGTGAGGCACCGCACCTGACTAATTTTTGTATTTTTGGTAGAGACAAGGTTTCACCATGTTGACCAGGCTGGTCTCGAACTCCTGGCCTCAGGTGATCTGCCCATCTCTGCCTCCCAAGGTGCTGGGATTACAGGTGTGAGCCACCACACCCAGCTTGTTATCTTACATTCTTATTATTTGTTTGATTCCTTGTCAAACTCATGAACTCTTTCAAGGCATGGACCTTGTCAGTCTTTTTTGCTGTTATATGTCAGCATCTAATACAGTGCCAGGTTTTCCCCATTACCTCATGCTTTGCTATATGGTGTCTAGAAGTGTTTGTGATCGATGGATATAACAACACTAGTCTTTTCTGTGTTTTTCAGCCAAATGCTGGATTATTTTGGTGAATTTTTAGCATAATTCTCTGGAGGACACACTAGACAATCTCCAGAGGAGGATATTAAAAATGGTGAGAACTTTGAAACTTTATCATAGAAGAAACAGTTCATGAATTTATAGGTTTAATCTGGAGAAGGGCTGGGCATGGTGGCTCATGCCTGTAATCCCAGCCCCTTGAGAGGCCGAGGAGGGCAGATCATGAGGTCAGGAGTCTGAGACCAGCCTGGCCAACATGGTGAAACCCGGTCTCTACTAAAAATACAAAAATTAGCTGGGCGTGGTGGCGCATGCCTGTAATGCCAGCTATTTGGGAGGCTGAGGCAGGAGAATCACTTGAACCCAGGAGGCAGAGGTTGCAGTGAGTTGAGATCGTGCCGTTGCACTCCAGCCTGGGCAAGACAGCGAGACTCCATCTAAACAAACAAACAAACAAAAAACAAAACCTTAATCTGGAGAAGGGCAGACTAAAGACAGCCATCTCACTTTCATCACTGTTTCTCATTCTTTTCTTGCTCATTTGTGCTCTCTCACTCTTCCCAATTTTTTAGTCATTGCTGCTTCTAGTTGTGTTAAGGATAAGTCCTAATTCTGGACCTTCTTTTCTCTTTGAATCCAGATGGAAATTAAAGTTTCATCCAAATTATCAGCAGAAAAGTTGAGCTACCTAGGTGACCTTCTGTGATTTTACTCATGCTGTACTGATACGGGTACAATGCTTTGCTAGAAGATACGTTCTAATAAATGCAGATGGCTGGAACACTCAGTGGACTCATCTTTAATGTAAAGTACTTAAATGCATTACATTCTTAGAGTTTGTATGCATTAGGTTGAAAACACCACCATCTTCCCTTTTATCAACTGATTTAAAATAAATTAGTTGTTTTTTTTTCTCTCTAAGCAACACTAGGCATGGGCACATCAACAGCTCAGGATAAAACCACAGTGGAATGTGGTTCCAATTCTGTTTTTCTGAATGAACTCTTGCTTTTGTGAGTCCTTCTCTGGAGACTAGATACTATTTTTCCAATGAAATAGATCTTGAATATTTTACTTTGCTGTAGAAGTAGCAAGTCTGCTGTTGAATCTGCCAGTGTGCCTGCCATGGCTCAGTGGTACTGTTCTCCTTATGCCAAATGGGGACCCAAGGATCAGTTCCAGTGTCCCAGGCATCTCACACAAACAGTACCATTGATGACCTGCCTTTGAGGATCCTCCCTAAACAGTTCATTTAATTTCAAATACTTTATTTAAAGTGGGTTGCACTTTAATCCAGGAATAATTTA